ATTTTTCTTTATGTATATTACAATAAATTATTACTAGTACTGCGTATTAAAATTTTACTAAAATTAAGTTATGTTTGAAAATTACGTTGACAACTTAAGGTATGTCGGTTTTTGACTGGTGTTACCTATTCAGTTTTAATAATTTAAAAATCGATTCATTTTTTTCCAAATTACTCAAAATCAGCTTGCCCAAAATTGTTCAAATTTGGCACGTGTGTTTACCAAACGTAGACCTTAAAAAATCTATTTACGACTTCGCTATAAAGTCAATAGGGGAGCCAATATCTGGACAGTTCAAAATTTGCATTGGAATTCCCAAATTTCAAATTGCTAGTATTTTAATCCTTTAGTTATTAACATTACATTCATTATTCTATATATATATATATATGTATATATATTTGTTAATTATTCTCGACCGTACGATTTAATAAATGTGGTATAATATCGGGAAGCGGTTTGTTTCAATTAAACTCACTTTAATCTAAATAGCTCTATATTTCGACATCATTTATGTCTTCATCAGGAGCGTCAGAATTAGAGTCAAATTTTACAAAAAAAAACATACAATAATGTAAAATAAACTACTTTGATCTACAAACCACCATTGACAACGTAGGGGAAACTGGGGTAAGATGACGATTGGGGTAAGATGACTAATGCCAAAATTTTCCATTATAAATAAATAATTTGATTTGTAAATTTGGCAACATCTAAAGCGTAGCATGCGGTATTAAGAAAAGACGGCCATTTCTCGCAGCAGTTTGTAGTTTAACGCACACATGGCCGAATTGTTTTTCTCAACGGTTGTTATAATATTTTGGCTAAAGTTTTTAGTGGTTGTGCTTGTTAATGAGGAAGTTTGATTTTCAATATTTTTACAAATAATATCCTGATATTCAGAGTAAACAATCAATGCTTGGATGTATTGATATTTTTTTGTTTCAACTTAGAAATAAAAAAATAAGGTTATGTGTGCATGGGGGGTAAGATGGCGGGGGTAAGATGATGACATCGTCAAAAGGGCATCCATAACTCGAAAAAAAATGTCTGCCTCCATTATTAGTAGCAGGCGTGCTAGGAAGCTTTGGAAATAAAACAAAATGAACAAGCAGAAAAAGAGATGAAAAGAAAATTAAGATTGGAAAGAAAGGCTATGAGAGACAAAAAAATAAGGTAAAGGAAAAGAGAGTAGAGAAAAGAAAAAAACGTCAAGGACCCATACGTGACTACGATAAGGCTGGCCCAAGTGGTCTTAATTCTAATAATCAGAAGACATCTAATGGAAGTCACTACATGTTGTGTCCGGGATGTAATGAATTATATACAGATCCTCCAATTGAAAATTGGATCCAATGTTGTTCGTTGTAGTGGCACAAGGAGTGTTCTTCTTTGGAAGATGGCGATTTTTATTGCGATTTTCGCATTTAAGTCATCTTACCCCAATGTGTTTGTCATCTTACCCGTTACATGGGGTAAGTTGACTAAATTGACTTGTTTTTTGTTTTTGCTTTATTAGAAAAAATGATTTAGTTTATGTGATATTTGTTACCTATATAATATAGCAAAAATGTTTGTAGTTTTGTAGTTTCAATATTGTTTCATAAAATAAATATTTTCAAAGTTAATTTAGATTTTTCCCTTAGCATCGCCATCTTCCCCCAGTTTCCCCTACAGTTTCTCGGTTTATTTCATATGTTTGGCAACGTGTTTACTGTCCTCTCTTTGTTCAGTACATTATAAACGCATTGTACTCTTCTTACATACGGAAATCTCGACCCAAGGCTAACCTTTGCCAGCCCTTAGTATATCTATATAGTTTACTATATTCTCCGATGGTGGTAGCACCGGCGGGGAATGCACCAAGCCTTATGCTTCTATTGACTGAAACTAATTATATATGGTTGATGCTCGTTTCTAAAAAAAATTTCTTAAAAATTATTATTTAAGACTCACCCTGTATATGTTTTAATAATTAGTAGTGTTATTACATAAAAAAGCGATGAAAACATTTTCGTAGACACATAAAACGGTAATATTTAACACCTCTATGGATTTTTGCAATTGACCTACCGTGTTTGTTGCAATTCCTAGAATCGAAAAAACGTATTTTGTCGAATTTTCAGGTAGCTATTATTGGAGCACTTAATTTGACTAATTAAAAGCAAAGTTCGTTCTTGATAGAAAACAAAAACAATGTAATGTGTTTTCGTCACACTTACTATACAGGGTGTCATAAGTGCAGATATTTTAAAAGTCCATTTTACTAGTCCGAAAAAGTAGCAATTTTTTATTAACGTTTAACGGCATTTAAAGTTAAGTATTTTTACACAAATGAAGAAGGAAATTAAAAATGAAGGATTATACTATATCCCGTATATCCGTAATGTAACACATTTTTAGACAACTTCTTTATTTTTAAGATTTTGATGGTCAACAACAAAATATTCTTTATTCCTGGTAGAAACATCAACAAAATATTTCTTATGTTTCGACTAAATTTTCTCGAAAATAAAGACATAATTTAAACTTCCGTTACAATATGGAGAGAGATTGAAGTTTTATGATTACAGTGAATTATAATTTATATGGTTTTGTAACATATTGCTCGCTATTTTATGGTAAATGCTGGAACTCTGCAAACTTTAATCAAGTCTTTAATCAAAGCACGTGTGTTTGGAATTTTGGCTGTGGCTTAACACGACAGGGTCGGGCTTAGCCTTAGGCAGATTTCTGGAATATAATATACAGGGTGTCCCAGAAATCAGTGCAAATATTTTAACTGGTAGTATAGTTCAACCCCAGAAACACGCCTATGAGGTTCTTTTTGCGAAAAAAAAATGTTGAAATTTAAAATTTTTCTTGACATTTTCCGGGAAATTTGAAAAAACTTTTTAGTGCCACTTGTTTATTCACCTGAGATTTCTCTACGGTGTATCTAAACCTTGCAGTGTTCAACATAGTTTTACATTTATAAATTCATAGACAAATTTCTACTCAAAAAATTAGGAATGTTAAATTTAATCTCTTATCAGTGTTCATTATTAATAATTATAGAAAAAAAACACATTAATTATTTTTAGTACTTACCCTTTCAATGAAAACTTAACAAAAACCACCGAAAATTAACTAAAACATTACGTTTATGACGTTTACGAAAATCTTTGTTATGCTGCAAAATAACTTTATTTTGGAACAAATTTAATAAAATGATTCATATTATTCACAATCGGGTTATAAAAAAGAAATTCTTAAAATGTTTATCGTAATTTAGAATTCAATTCAAGAAATTTAGAAAACAGCCCAACGAATAATCGATTCATTTTTGTTTGTTTTCTTTCATGTTTCTCTGTTTTATTTGAACCACTGTTTTACAAAACACCTTGAAAAGCGCACATTACTTTGAATACCTTTCTGAATGAATAAATGTTGAGAATTATGGTCTCTTATCGCCACTTTACGAACTACTTTCAATCTAAGAAAATACATGTTTCACTCAACAATTTTAAATACGTATTTTGTTTTTTCGCTATCTTTTCGATGTATTTCGACAATTCCATCGACAGCCTAACCGTCGGCCTAATAATCCATCGACAGCCTAACCAGCTTGCGTCAGACGACGATGTTAAGCAACGTTGCCGTAGTTACAACAATTTCAAATTCAAGACATTCGAAGCAATCAAATTCGTATTAAATTTTAAAAATAAAACAGAGAAACATGAAAAGAAACAAACAAAACAAAAATGAATTAATTATTCGTCGGGCTGTTTTCGATATATTGAATTCTGAATTACGATAAACATTTTAGAAATTTCTTTTTTGTGACCTTATCAATAACCAATTCATTTGTGTTTTTTTTTTTCCTTTCATGCTTTTCTGTTTTATTTTTAAAGTTTAATAAGAATTTGATTGCTTCGAATGTCTTGAATTTGAAATTGTTGAAACTACGGCAACCTCGCATGACGCAAGCTCGACACGGCGGCGCGACAAAGGAGCAGTTACCAGTGATGCGCGATTCGCGGCTCTCTTGGCCGATGCGACGGTTGAAAATCAACGGCTGTCGATGGAATTGTCGAAATACATAGAAAAAATAGCGAAAAAACAAAATACGTATTTAAAATTGTTGAGTGAAACATGTATTTTCTTAGATTGAAAGTAGTTCGGAAAGTGGCGGTAAGAGATAATAATTCTCAACATTTAGTCATTCAGAAAGGTATTCAAAGTAATGTATGCTTTTCAAGATGTTTTGTAAATCAGTGGTTCAAATTGTGTTGAGGCATATATGAAAATAATGTGTTAAAAATGGGGACTGTTATTTTAGTAGTTATTATAATAGCATGTACAAGTAAAGCAGCACAGTAAAGTCTATTTTAGTTAAGTGTATATCGAAAAAGAGAACTCTCACAGTTACATCGATCTGTCATAAGTATCTTTTTTAATGTTGGGTAAGTTTTTTTAATTTAACTTTTAAGCATTTAACTTTTAATTTATTTTATGTAATAATATCACAATCTTAAAAATGTAATGCATCTCTGCAAACTCCTCAGGTGTTGTGATTTTATGACTTACTTTTAACATATACTTTCTTGTCCATATGGCAACACAGTGCGTCGAGTTGGCGATATCTGCCGGCGGTTCTCAAAATGTTGCGATTATTTTTTAAAATTTTCAAAGTTAAATAACTCGGTTATTTTCAATTTATTTTAAAAATGGTAAAGAGAAAATATGTTTATTTTGACCAGATCTACCACCCCTTAAAATATCTGCACTCATTTCTGGGACACCCTGTATTATATTATATTTCCTTCGGCAACACACCCGAAATCTTGAACATTTTTTTTTTACAAAAAAATTTTGGCGGTCGAACTATACTAGTAGTTGAAATACTTGCATTTATTTCTTGGACACCCTGTCTACATACTTATTTTTTTTCAATTAAAAAACACTATAGCTTTCATTAAGCTTCAATGTTAGTGTCAATTAAAAAATAAACGTTTTTCTCATTTTTAACAAACAGTGAGTGTAGTGGAAAGTGACTTGACCTAATTCAGCATAAGATATTTGGATTTGGTATTTGGGATATAAAACAAAATATATTTCAATAAAACTACGAAGTAATTTTGAGTAGCTATTAAAAACAACAAATTTTATTATTACCTTTTTATTTTAAAATGTAAGTATTTTTTTAATTTACAAATCTCTATGAATTAATTTGAATATGATTATAACATTTTTGATCCGGTACATACAGGGTGAGACTTAAATAAGTGAACACGCTAGGGGGAGAAATTTTTGGTCAGATTTTTTTAAAGTGTTATATTTTTGTTATTTTTAGCCCTATTCTTATGATTTTTTAGCTAGCTGTATATAATCAATAATTATATCAACTCTAATTCGTAAACTCAGTTTTTATAAACTTTAGTATTTGGCATATTATACAGGGTTAATCGAGGGTTTTTTTACCCTAACTTTAAAACACCCTGTGCAATAATTTCTTGTGTAAATTTTCCTAAAATATAATTTTGCGGCCAGAACCAAGAATCCTGAGCATTTTGTTTTTTGAATCATATCAATACATGCCTTGGTTAATTTTTAACAGCAAAATATAGGGTATTTTAAAATATAAAATATATATATATATAAAAGTATTAGCACAGAATATCTAGCTACGCAACAGAAAAATACTCGAAATGAAAGAGCTAAAATTGCACAAATAGAATACTAGATGGCGCGACAATATCATAATCAGAATATAATTAGAAATTTTGAACTTTCGGTTTCGGATCGACGGCTCGTCGACAGCCTTGTAGCTCGGCTAAATCTGCACAGTTGCCAGATTCAAAAAGGCATCCCATTCTTTTTACTGTGTATAATTAATGCAGTATGTTTTTCTTTCTATTCTTCTTTTCTTGTCAGATACACTTATATTAATTATTCCTTTGGCTATTAAAATAGTTTTAAGTATATTATTACAAAACATATACATTTTTAATATACACTACCTTATTACTAAGAAAATACCTTTAATTACCTTTAAAATTACTAATATACAGGGCGATTGATAGTGATATTTATTAATGCTGGAACGTTAGTAATGAAATATAAGTTTAATAATAATGGAAATAATTTATTAAAATGCAGTACAAAAAATGTTAACTGACTAAAAAATACTATAACAACAAATTTCTTCCGTTTGCCACGTTATTCATATAGACCTAGGTAGATTTTAAAAAGTGACACAGGTACAATTAATAATATATTAGTTCGGCATAAAAGTTGTCACGACATCGAACAACAAATTAAAATTCGTAAAATAAATTAAAATTATTAATTAAACAAATCTTTATAAAGAAACGCAAGTATGCCAAATTTGGCCCAATCGAACTCCAGGAAATGATATCATAATAGTTTACTATATTATTGTACCACTTTATATGCTTTAAGGCACCATAATATTGCAATGTCACCGAAGATCCGTAGTAGGTATAGCAAACTTAAGAACAATCGAACGCCATGAAATGGTATCGTAATATGGTACCACTTTATATACATCACCGTTAGTTACGGTACCACTTTATATACATCATAGTACAATCATATTACAATGTAACCGAAGATACGTAGTATACCAAGTTTAAGCCCAATCGAACGCCAGGAAATGGTATCGTAATATGGTACTATATTAAGGTACCACTTTATATGCATCATAGTACCATCATATTACAATGTCACCGAAAATACGTAGTATCCCAAGTTTAAGCCCAATCGAACGCCATGTACGTAATATAGTACTATATTATGGTACCAGTTGATATGCTTCATGGTACCATAATAATGCAATGTCATCAAAAATACGCAAGTATATATCAAATATGAGCTCAATCAAACGCCAGGAAATGGTATTGAAATATGGTACTATATTAAGGTACCACTTTATATGCATCATAGTACCATCTTATTACAATGTAACCGAAGATACGTAGTATACCAAGTTTAAGCCTAATCGAACGCCAGGAAGTGGTATCGTAATATGGTACCTCTTGGTACTCCATGGTACCATAATATTACAATATCACCGAAGATACGTAGTATCCCAAATTTAAGCCCAATCGAACGCCATGTACATAATATGGTACTATATTATGGTACCAGTTGATATGCTTCATGGTACCATAATAATGCAATGTCATCAAAAATACGCAAGTATATATCAAATATGAGCTCAATCGAACGTCAGGAAATGGTATTGAAATATGGTACTATTTTAAGGTACCACTTTATATGCATCATACTACCATCATATTACAATGTCATCGAAAATACGTAGTATACCAAGTTTAAGCCCTATTGCCGCCATGTACCTAATATTGCTATGTCATCAAATATGGTACTGTAGAAAGTACCACTTTATATGCTCCATGGTACCATGATATTACAATGTCACTGAAGATATAGTATATCAAGTTTAAGCCCAATCGAACGCCATGTATCGTAATATGGTACTATATTATAGTATCACTTGATATGCTTCATGGTACCATATTATTGTAATGTCAAGAAAAATAGTATATATCAAATACCGTATGATACCGAAAAAAACGGCGTCCAGTTGGCTGGAAAAGGACGATCCATGACATTTCCCATATAAATTTATATATAAAATGACAGCTATATTCATTTCATAGCCATCGCTAACGCCGTTTTTTCCCGATTATACGATATGAACTTGGTATGAACACAATCGAACGTCAGGAAGTCGTATCATAATAGTAGAACAATACTTATTACATTGTCGCCGAATTACAATGAAAATTCAGGATTCAATTATACAATGAAACGTCAGGAAGTGATTGTAATTTAGCTCATAAGATTTAATTCCAACTAACATGGCAAATTGAAAAAACAGCTCTGATCTATTTTAATATGTTTAAATGATGTAGCAAATTTGAAGGTAGGCTTTATCAGGAAGTATTACGATATGAATTACACAATGGCAACACTGCATAAAATTCTTTTAAATTTTGTTTGTAGAAAACTGTTTTCTTTTAAATTTATTGCCCTCTATTATGTAGTAGCGAAACTACCGCATCAAAATATCTGATTTGGAGACAGGCTTTAAAAGCCTGTCTCCTTTTGCTACCTACAATTTTATACATGTAACGAGGCTTCTGTTGCGTAGCTAGATATTCTGTGGTATTAGGGTATTTTTTACATTTTTTTTCTGTTTGTATAGGTACTTGAGTATTACCGATATTTTCTTTAATATCGTTAGTTCCGTTATCGATATTAATGTTTATTAAAACCCTAGCTGTATCGTTAGCCTTTAACGTTTTTTTTTTTTAATTTTAGTGTAAAGTATCCAATGCATCGTATTATGACTACATACGACAATAGTCCTCCAAACAATTTCGTCATATTAAAAAATTACATCAAAAAGTAATGATAATTGAAAAAATTGCAAATTGATCGTGATCAGTTCATTTCGCTCTTAAAAATTTACAAAAGCATGTATTGCTGAGTGTTGCACAAGACAAGAATTCTTGTCTTGAAGATCTCAATTTTTTGTCTTGTCTTGAAATTCAAGACAAGAAATTTTCGAAGTCTTGTCTTGCAGATTTCTTGAATGGCAAAGTCTTGTCTTGTCTTGCAAGACTCTTGAAATTTCTTGTCTTGAAAAATTTTACATTCTAACAAAAAGGTAATAGTATTTCTATATTTCATTTCATAGAAAGCGTCGTATACAAAATGTAATACGGAAAAATGAACAACAACGATGCTAATTTTAGCAAGAAAAATCTTAACGGACCGCAAACGAACTACGTCAACTCGCTCGTTTGACGAAACAGGAGCCATTACCAAATAAAAGCTAAATAAGAATATGTAAGGTTAAGTTCGATTTATGGGTTTTGGGTTATTATTTCGTACCTAACCTTGTGCGTTAAGTTATTTAAGTATTACTCACTACCAAAAAAAGTTTTTATACGAGATATGAGCAGTGTAAATAATATAAGTGGCGATAGTGAAACCGAGTCCGAACCCTTCCAACACAGTGGAAGTGAATTCGCGGTTAATAATAGTAAGCAAACAAATACTGACAATGAATGTGAGGATTTAAATTTGGACACAGGGTGTACGGAAAGGTCATGCTAGAGCATACTATTTGCGCTATTTGATACTACTTTTTGTTTGCGGAGCAATTTCGTGCATGAAAAGTAGTAACAAATAGTGCAAATAGCGTGCTCCACGAACTCACCATTAGTTTCAACTACCGTTAGTTTTTCTTATAATACCATTAAGTATACCAATATGATAGTGCAACCTTCCAAGTTAAATTAGATGATGACCTCAAAACAGAAAAAATACTACTCGGCAAGGGCGTGAGACAAGGAGATACCATCTCTCCCAAGTTATTTACACTGGCACTGGAAAATGTCTTCAAGAAATTAGAATGGGAAATTAGAGGTCTAAACATCGATGGGGTACACCTTAGCCATCTGAGGTTCGCAGACGATATTGTCTTGCTGAGCACCGACATTCAAGAACTAAACACCACGCTAAATGAGCTAAATGAGCAATCCCAGAAAATTGGCCTTAAAATGAACTTGAAGAAGACCAAGATAATGAGCAACAATATCCATAACATTACCGTGGACAACGTTATTATTGAAAACGTAGACCATTATATAGGTAGGTATATTTAGGTCATAAAGTCAAGCTGGACAAGGAAAACCAAAATACGGAAAATCAAACGCAGGATCCATTTGGCATGGGTAGCATTTGAAAATATGAGCGATATTTTCAAGGATAAAAAGGTGCCCATGAACCTAAAGAAAAAGGCTTACGACAGCTGCATTCTACCTGTGCTTACGTATGGCTTAGAGACTATGGCAATTAGTCGAAAAACAGCAGAACAACTACGAGTAGCACAAAGAGCCATGGAAAGAATCATGTTGGGAGTCACCATTAGGGAAAAAATACGGAATACCCACATACGTCAAAAAACAAAATTAATAGATGTCGTTAAAAGAGTGGCAAGTCTGAAGTGGCAATGGATAGGACATGTGGCAAGACAGGATCCAGACCGATGGCCCCAAAAAATAATCCTATGGAGACCTAGGGGAACAACAAGAAGTGTGGGCCGACCAAAAAAGAGATGGGTCGATGACGTCAGGGCAGTGGCGGGAAGACAATGGATAAGATTGGCTAGAGATCGCGAAGCATGGAAAAACCTAGAAGAGGCCTATATCCAACACTGGATGCCACCAGGCTGAGAAAGAAGAAAGAAGAAAGTATACCAATATAATTTTGTGTATAATACCAATTACCAATATACGGTTTGTTGCCTCGACTTTATTTTATTTCATTCTCAACTCTAAAACACTGGCTATGATAGAAAAAAAAATGAACACTGGTCAATGTTAATGCTGGGTTTATACAACATTTGCATAAGTTGTAATCATAATTACAGTCTTAATCATCCTCATAATCACAACGGAATTTTAATGTGCGTTTATAGAATATTTTCATAATCAGAATTTTTATATCAGTGAAGTTGGGTAACATAATTAAAGGCTAAGTTCATGGTAGATGTCAACAGGTTTATAAGAAATGGATAGTTTAACTTTCATGATTATGACTATGATTGTGATTACGACTATGTAAATGTTGTATAAACCCTGCATAACTTGCGCAAAGCTTTCAAGAAATCTTGAATTCAAGAAATCTTGCAAGACTCTTGAAATTTCTTGCATATTAAAGTCTTGTCTTGTCTTGAAAATCAAGACAAGAAATTTTGAAAGTCTTGTCTTGAATTTCTTGCAAGAGTCTTGGTCTTGCAAGACTTTTTCAAGACAACACGAGTGCAACACGAGTATTGATATGAATCAAAAAATAAAATGCTCAGGAGTCATGGTTCTGACCGTAAAATTATATTTTAGGAAAATATACGCACGAAATTATTTCACAGGGTATTAGTTAGGGTAAAATTCCTACAGCGACATATGCTACAGATAAAATAAGAAAAAAAATTCATATAAATTTATGTCCTAAAATGCTTAGTTTCGGAGATACAGCCTGTAGTAATTTCATTTGTCGATTTTTCATATGTCGATTTTTTCCAAATAATTTCTGAACTAAAGTCGACATTTCAATGAAAGTTGACATCTGGGTGTTTTTTGACATGAAAAATTTGATTTTCATGTCTTATGACTTCTACTTGAACCTACATGTTTTGAGCTGTTTTGAAGAGTAATAACTGTTTGCTTGTAGCTGTATTAAAGTATAGAATAAGAAAATATACATTTCCGCCGTTTTTTACTTAAAATCGGCCTCTTGCGAAAAATTTCTAATGCCGGGTCCAGACCAAGCAGCCAAAACAATGAGTCTTATTTTTGTCTTAAAATCGTGTTTATTCTATGTCGCTTTGGTCTGGACCCGGCATAGGAGCAATAACAGTACAATATTTGCAATGAAAATTATCAATATAGTGTGTCATATAAAAAATCTATAATACTTATAGAATTTAAAGAGAATGTCCAAGAGGAAAACTATAAAGAGTAAAAACAGCTTTAAATATAAAAAAATAATTTTGATCATGTACTCGGATTTTATACATATCCCACTTAATATTGTACATATCATTTTAGACATTTTCTACGCATTTTTCTACCTACACGTACTAAATTAATTATCTACGTGTCGTTACCCAACCCTCGTTCTGAATAAAACCGAAAAAACTAATTTTGTCTTATTTTATGTGCAAGATTTTCAGGACGATGTCAATATCTGTCGGAGAAATCTTCACCTATATAATACAGATCAAGCTAATTCTACTATTTTCGTTCATCTCCTGCGCTCTGATAGCGTACGTACATTTTCTATGGAGAAAGAGAAAATTGATTATAAAATCCTGGAATATGCCAGGACCACTGAATCTTCCGTTTGTTGGTGGGGCATATCTATTTATGATCCGGCCAGAATGTAAGCATTATCTGTTTGTTAATATTTGTAATTGATTTTTTAATAGTTTTAAGTTTTTATCTTAACAATTTGAAGGGTCCAGAGGAAAACATGATCTCATCGAAAACGTAGAATGTAAGAAAATGCAAAGTCTCGCAACACAATTCTTCCGCTACAAAAAGTTGTGAGATCTCATGTAAAACCAAGTCAGTTTATTTTCCAAGTCAGTTACAATTTCTTGCAGGAGAATTTTATTAATATTTAAATAGTACTAAAACGAAGTATGCTTCATTATGTTAATAAATTATTACCGATATTTTTATATCGGATTAATTATTATAATTTCAAATCAACACGCCTAGAGTAATTTTATAAAATATGTATACATTATACTAATGGTAACCAAAATTTAAAAAAAAAACTAATTCATTTATGATAGTACTAGCACTACTACCTTTAGCAACAATTGGTTACTATCATATCGTTTTTCCGATTTTCTCGAAAACTGCGTATACTAACAAGATCAAAATTTCAGGGATTATAGGGGCCCACTAGACTAATAATAATCACCTAGTGGCGTGTTCTTGATGGATTTAGTTTGCGGTATTTTCGTCAGCAGCCAATTTGTTTATACCGTTTTTCCGATTTTCTCGAAAACTACGTATACTAACAAGATCAAAATTTCAGGTATTATAGGGGTCCACTAGACTAATAATAATCACCCAGTGGCGTGTTCTTGATCGATTTAGTTTTCGGTATTTCCGTCAGCAGCTAATTTGTTTATACCATTTTTCCGATTTTCTCGAAAACTGCGTATACTAACAAGATCAAAATTTCAGGGATTATAGGGGTCCACTAGACTAATAATAATCACCCAGTGGCGTGTTCTTGATCGATTTAGTTTTCGGTATTTTCGTCAGCAGCTAATTTGTTTATACCGTTTTTCCGATTTTCTCGAAAACTACGTATACTAACAAGATCAAAATTTCAGGGATTATAGAGGCCCACTAGACTAATAATAATCCCCCAGTGGCGTGTTCTTGATCGATTTAGTTTTCGGTATTTTCGCCAGCAGCTAATTTGTTTACACCGTTTTTCCGATTTTCTCGGAAACTGCGTATACTAACAAGATCAAAATTTCAGGGATTATAGAGGCTCACTAGACTAATAATAATCACCCAGTGGCGTGTTCTTCATCGATTTAGTTTTCGGTATTTTCGCCAGCAGCTAATTTGTTTATACCGTTTTTCCGATTTTCTCGAAAACTGCGTATACTAACAAGATCAAAATTTCAGGGATTATAGGGGTCCACTAGACTAATAATTATCACCCAGTGGCGTGTTATTGATCGATTTAGTTTTCGGTATTTTCGTCAGCAGCTAATTTGTTTATACCGTTTTTCCGATTTTCTCGAAAACAGCGTATACTAACAAGATCAAAATTTCAGGGATTATAGGGGTCCACTAGACTAATAATAATCACCCAGTGGCGTGTTCTTGATCGATTTAGTTTTTGATATTTTCGCCAGCAGCTAATTTGTTTATACCGTTTTTCCGATTTTCTCGAAAACTGCGTATACTAACAAGATCAAAATTTCAGGGATTATAGGGGTCCACTAGACTAATAATAATCACCCAGTGGCGTGTTCTTGATCGATTTAGTTTTTGATATTTTCGCCAGCAGCTAATTTGTTTATACCGTTTTTCCGATTTTCTCGAAAACTGCGTATACTAACAAGATCAAAATTTCAGGGATTATAGGGGTCCACTAGACTAATAATAATCACCCAGTGGCGTGTTCTTGATCGATTTAGTTTTCGGTATTTTCGTCAGCAGCTAATTTGTTTATACCGTTGTGACAAAACTTTCCAGATTTGTCCGTTAACATGGTAGTGTGGCCTTTATATAATTATAATTAAAATAATTTATTGAGCGGTAGGCAGAACTTGGATAATGAGAACACCGACTTTTCAGAGCGTAAATATAGTTTATCGTTTACATATAAAAACAAAATATAACCAGCTAAAAATCGAAATTAAGGCATCGCACTTTTATGGTAAGGGCTCTTTCTAAATTCAGTTACTACAAACTCTATTGCCACTTACCTTATTACGTCAACATCCGTCAGCATTTCATCAACAACAAGAACCTGTCGAAGACTTCATTGATCCCCTTGTAGATCTGCCGCTTCGGTCATGGACTTATTCTTTAGATTAAACCACTCGACCGGTTATCACAGTGTTCTTTTAGATAGTTTAATATTTTAGAGAAAAGGTGAGATTCAAAAATAAAATGCCGATTTTTCACAACACCTAACTATATTTAATATAAAAAAATAAATAAATAAAAATAAAGAAAAAGATTTAACAAGACATTTATAATTAACGAAATATAAAAAAAAGGAAAGAAATTTAATCAAAAATAATTAAAGAATGATATTAAAATTCAGAAGTGAGAAAGTTAAAAATACAAAATATTCTTCTTATTAGTCTAATCTAAATTATCTAAAATTAGCATACAATTCAAACCTCTCTTAGAATTTTCGTTGGTAGAAAATTAATATGTCAAAAAAAAAATATTAACTGAACAATTGGATTTAAATTAGAATTTAATAAAAAGAACAAGTGTAAAATAATCATTTGTGTGATGATATCTAACTTTTACTAAAGCCTTTAGAACAAACAGAAAGTCTTAAATCGTTAATAAAAAAAATATTAAAGAAAATCTAAAACAACAAATTAAAAATCTTTATACATGAAATGTTTAAAATTTCCCTAACTTGAGAATTGAATATTTAAGAAAATCTTTAAATCGAAAACTTACTAAAATTATTAAAGAGAAACCACTGGATAATATAAGATCTACACGGAGAAAATTCGACCGTCTAATTTAAAAGTCAGTACCGAACTGATCCAAGAATCTATTTTCCTAAACCTCGAAATATTTAAAATGGGCGGGTAAAAAGAATAGGGAACCACCAAAAGCCGAGCCATTCTCAAATCCTCTCCGGGTTCGCTTTTCAGGAACCGTCTGATTGGTCTGAGAAAACCTCAACTACCCTGTCGTTCCCGGTCTAGTTGGCCCTACTTGTCATAGATGTCGTTACTATGACCATTTCTACATTATTTCCAAATTATTACTAATATCCGTGTAAATATTATAATTACCGTAAACACAATTACACATGATTAAATCTAACCCTAACTAAAGTATATTTTAAGGTCTGTCCTTAAAAAAACCAAACAAATCATATTTATAATTTGATTTCATTAGGTTTCGCTGTTTCATCTTATATGTTTATTTATTTCACATAATTTTGGATATTTTGGATAAAAAAAGGAGGACAGTCCTTAATTTTCAGAATATCATTACGTGAACTTTACTTTAATATTTAAATTAACAATTATACTTGTTTTTATCCAAAATCTGTTTGTATTGGCCCGTGGGAGGTCTATCGTGAGAAGAGTGTCGTCTTAGAGTTTTATTGCTTTCTAGGGGTTTTGCTTATATAATCTCGAAGTTAAAATTTAGGGTTTTACAGCTTTAATGATTGATACTAGTCGTTTCTAGCTGTTTCAAAGCAAGTATTATATTAATTTATGGACGTGGGATTTTAAACCTAACAGAAAAATATTTAGTTTTTCCAAGAGAAACGGGTCCTTCATTCTAAACAGTTTTTACGATCTTCTGAAAAAATACCAATTTAAGGGCGGAAACACATGACAAAGTTTTAACAAGCTTGGTTTGTTGTCTGCTCCAAAATATTCCATTACACCGTTTTTCCGATTTTCTCGAAAACTGCGCATACTAACAAGATCAAAATTTCAGGGATTATAGGGGTCCACTAGACTAATAATAATCACCCAGTGGCGTGTTCTTGATCGATTTAGTTTTCTGTATTTTCGCCAGCAGCTAATTTGTTTATACCGTTTTTCCGATTTTCTCGGAAACTGCGTATACTAACAAGATCAAAATTTCAGGGATTATAGGGGTCCACTAGACTAATGATAATCACCCAGTGGCGTGTTCGTGATCGATTTAGTTTTTGATATTTTCGCCAGCAGCTAATTTGTTTATACCGTTTATCCGATTTTCTCGGAAACTGCGTATACTAACAAGATCAAAATTTCAGGGATTATAGAGGCCCACTAGACTAATAATAATCACCCAGTGGCGTGTTCTTGATCGATTTAGTTTTCGGTATTTTCGCCAGCAGCTAATTTGTTTATACCGTTTTTCCGATTTTCTCGGAAACTGCGTATACAAACAAGATCAAAATTTCAGGGATTATAGAGGCCCACTAGACTAATAATAATCATCCAGTGGCGTGTTCTTGATTGATTTAGTTTTCGGTATTTTCGCCAGCAGCTAATTTGTTTATACCGTTTTTCCGATTTTCTCGGAAACTGCGTATACTAACAAGATCAAAATTTCAGGGATTATAGAGGCCCACTAGACTAATAATAATCCCCCAGTGGCGTGTTCTTGATCGATTTAGTTTTCGGTATTTTCGTCGGCAGCTAATTTGTTTATACCGTTTTTCCGATTTTCTCGAAAACTGCGTATATTAACAAGATCAAAATTTCAGGGATTATAGAGGCTCACTAGACTAATAATAATCACCCTGTGGCGTGTTCTTGATCGATTTAGTTTTCGGTATTTTTGTCAGCAGCTAATTTGTTTATACCGTTTTTCCGATTTTCTCGAAAACTATACCCCTATAATCCCTGAAATTTTGATCTTATTAGTATACGTAGTTTCCGAGAAAATCGGAAAAACGGTATATAAACAAATTAGCTGCTGGCGAAAATACCGAAAACTAAATCGGTCAAGAACACGCCACTGGGGGATTATTATTAGTCTAGTAGGCCTCTATAATCCCTGAAATTTCGATCTTGTTAGTATACGCAGTTTTCGAGAAAATCGGAAAAACGGTATAAAAAAATTAGCTGCTGGCGAAAATACCGAAAACTAAATCGATCAAGAACACGCCACTGGGTGATTATTATTAGTCTAGTGGACCCCTATAATCTCTGAAATTTTGATCTTATTAGTATACGCAGTTTTCGAGAAAATCGGAAAAAACGATATGATAGTAACCAATTGTTGCTAAAGGTAGTAGTGCTAGTACTTTCATAAATGAATTAGTTTTTTATTTTGGTTACCATTAGTATAATGTATACATATTTTATTAAATTACTTAAGGCGTGTTGATTTGAAATTATAATAATTAATCCGATATAAAAATATCGGTAATAATTTATTAACATAATGAAGCATACTTCGTTTTAGTACTATTTAAATATTAATGAAATTCTCCTGCAAGAATTGTATGATTATTTCATATTAAGTTAAGTTGCCCGACGCCACTGGCCCTTCGGCTATGTTCGGCAAATCGGCCGCTATCTTTTGGCTGCTAAGTTCACATCAGTAATTTTAAAAGAATAATCTACCATTTTTGTGGCCGGCCGTAGCTCCAGCGGTAGTGTGTCGATCTGCGGAGCGTACTGGCACAGCTTAAAGAATATAAATATATACAGTTGGCTCACTCTAAGGAATTCTATTGTTATTTTGACTTCTAAGGCGGCTCGTGACCCTTCGAGGTGATAAACAATTTGTACGTTTACCGGGTGCAGCGGAAGTGCTATTTTTTCAATCAGAACGCTGGCCGTATACGATCAAGTAAAAATACTAAGGAATTTTAATATAGCAAGTAGAAAAATAAAAATACAGTACTAGTTTTATTGATTAACAGTTTTAGGCTTCTTTAATAATTGATGTTTTATATCATCTTAGAAAACGCTAAAGACGCTACAGAAAACAAACTGATTTGTTTTCATTTGCGTTTTTTTGCGAGACACGCCGAACGCTACACGCTTTTGGTGTGGCCACTTTTATACATATAATCCCGTTATTTTGTTTTAGTCGCTAAAGACGCTTCACGCTAAAAAGCAAAAAACGCTTTCTGTGTGGCCGTGGGCTAGAATGTTTCGAGATTTTTTCTTTTTTCCTTCCATTATAAGCTTAAAGCTACCTAAAATTCAAAATTTATAGTTTGTAACACTACTTCTAGAAGTACCTTAGCATTTTGATGACGTCGAGTGAGTCACTGGTGACCGACATGTTAAATAAGTTTGCCTAGAAAGAATTTAAAATCCTTGAATTATTGTTGGTACATTGATCAAATAAAGTCAGAAGAGACCGCTTGGATTAATTCTAGTTTTCTACCCTTTTCTCGACTGGAAAGTCAGTTACCGGTAGCGCCTAGACAGCTAACTTTTAATCCATAAGGATATTTCGAGATTTTTCATTTTTTCTTTTGGTTATAAGCTTAAAGCTATATAAAATCATAGCATAAAATTCAAAATTTGAAGTTTTTGACACATCTAGAAGTATGATGATCTGTCAGTGAGTCAATGTCGAAATTAAAGAAATTTGACAAGCGATAATTCATGAACTATGAACATAGATAAAAGAAAATAATATACTATTAAGAACTATGAGGTATAATGACTAGATATTTTGGTAACCTAGCCAGTATATCTTCAAGTGTAGTGAACATTAATATTCTTGCTTTATCTACAACGAAGTTACAGGGTGGTCAAGAGTGCCGCTAATACCTTCGAGAATAGGATGGTATGATTGTGCTCGATTGGTGGGGACACTGCCGCGCACCAGAAAAATCTAAACATTTCCTTTGATTTCAGACATATATAACCGACTTACAAGGATGCAACAGGACTATCCGGACATCGGAAAGATATGGTTTGGCTCGAAACTCGTCTATTTCATGACGAAGCCCGAATATATAGAAAAAGTGCTTGGCAGTACGAAACTGGTAGCGAAAAGTGACTTCTATCAAACTATAATACAATATATTGGAGAGGGACTTTTAGCAGCTCCTGGTAAATATACACCTATTACCGTTTATTTTTTCCAATTGAAATCTATAATTTGTTCTTATGTTTTTTCGACATTATTACATTAGGCACAGAATATCTAGCTACGCAACAGAAGCCTCGTTACATGTATAAAATTGTAGGTAGCAAAAGGAGACAGGCTTTAAAAGTCTGTCTCCAAATCAGATATTTTGATGTGGTAGTTTCGCTACTACATAATAGAGGGCAATAAATTTAAAAGAAAACAGTTTTCTACAAACAAAATTTAAAAAATAATTTTGTTGCAGTGTTTGCCATTGTGTAAATCATATCGTAATACTTCCTGATAAAGCCTACCTTCAAATTGCTACATCATTTAAACATATGAAAATAGATTCAGAGCGTTTCAGTTTGCCATGTGAGTTGGAATTATATCTTATGAGCTAAATTACTTCCTGACGTTTGATTTTATAATTGAATCCTGAATTCTCATTGTAATTCGGCGGACCAATATAAAAAGTATGTCTACTATTATGATACCAATTCCTGACGTTTCGATTGTGTTCATACCAAGTTCATATTATATAATCGGGAAAAAACGGTGTTAGCGATAGCTATGAATGAATGATCACTGTCATTTATATGTTAAATTTATATGGGAATTCTTATCGATCGTCCTTTTTCCAGCCAACTGACGCCGTTTTTATCAGAAGCATATCAAGTGATACCATAATATACTATATTACGATACATGCGTTCGATTGGGCTTAAAACTTGGTTATTACTATATCTCAGTAATGTAATATCATGGTACCATGGAGCATATAAAGTGTACCTTCATAGTACCATATTTGATGACATAGGCCATTAGGTACATTGCGGCAATAGGGCTTAAACTTGGTATACTACGTATTTTCGGTACATTGTCCTAATATGATGGTACCTATGATGCATATCGTCTGGTACCATAATATAGTGCCATATTATGTACATGGCGTTCGATTGGGATACTACGTATTTTCGGTAACATTGTAATATGATTGAACTATAATGTATATAAAGTGGTACCTTAATATATTACCATATTACGATACCATTTCATGGCGTCCGATTGTTCTTAAATTTGGTATACTACGGATCTTCGGTGACATTCCAATATTATGGTACCTTAAAGTATATCGAGTGGTACCATAATATATAGTACACTTTTATAATATCATTTCCTGAGTTCGATTGGGCCCAAATTTGGTATACTTGCGTTTCTTTATAAAGATTTGTTTAATTAATAATTTTAATTTATTTTTACGAGATTTTAATTTTATTGTTCGATGTCGTCATGTCGTGACAGCAACTTTTATGCCGAACTAATATATTATTCAATTGTTAAACCTGTGTCACTTTTTAAAATCTACCTAGGTCTATATAAATGACGTGGCAAACAGAAAACGGGAGAGAGAGTGTTTTATAGTTTTTTTTAGTCAGTTAACATTTTTTGAACTGCATTTTAATAAATTATTCCATTATTATTAAGCTTATATTTCATTACTAACGTTCCAGCATTAATAAATCATCACTATCAATCCCCCTGTATATTATTAATTTTAAAGGTAATTAAAGTATTTTCTTAGTTAACATTATAAGGTATAGGGTAGATTTTATTTCCTTTAATAAAAATTAAATTTAAAATCATTTTATTTAAATTTCTTAGTATTGGAGCCATCTATTTGCTAGATGCCAAAGATACCAAACTCCATTTGTTACAGGTCACTTGTTTCGATATTTAATTTTTATTAGCGCATCTATTCGCTAGGTGTCAAATTTCATTTCTTACAGTTTACTTGTCTTGTTTATTAGCGCCATCTATTCGCTATATGCCAAACTTCCTTAAATTGCATTTCCCTTGTCCCGGTATTTAATTTTTATTAGCGCATCTATTCGCTAGATGTCAAACTTCATTTATGACCGTTGGGTTTTCGTTTCTGAAACTGAGAAGAAGGTCTTTTTCTGGGAATTTGGATCTGAGGAAGACGCGTGTTTTGGCGTCCGACAAATTCTCCAGTGAAAAGCACTCTGAATCCACTTTTCGATTTCGATTGCATGGGTATCCGATTTGGAGATTTGAAAACCTTGTAAAGTATGCAATCCAGAGTATAGATCTATTTGTTTGGTTTCTTTTTGGAATGATCACCGTAATTTTATCCGCCATTTTATATAACCCTATCTAAACCTAGAATTTTATTTCAGTTATTTCCGTTTTTACTTCGTTTATTTGAGTATTCAATTACTGGTTTGGATCGTCATATGGTTTGAATATATATTTATGTAAAGCTGATTTTCCAGACCGTAAGTTGTTTTTTTTAGTGAGTATCTGTCCTGAGAGCTATTTTTTATTTATAGGGTTTTTTTTTTTTTTTTTTTTTTATTTATAGAGTAACTACGACATGGTACTTAGTAACTACCACATTGTACTCAGTAACTACCACATGGTACACAGTAATTACCACATGGTATGCAGTATTATTGTATGTTTCACCCACTTTCATTTTGTATGGACCCATGCGGACCTTAAGACAATGTTCCTGACATTACAATCCTTCTTTTGGCTGATATCGAAGACTTCTCCTGCCATAGTCATCTGCATCCACTTCTGTTAGTCTGGAGAATACCTACCTACCTGTTTACATCATAAGAAACTATATTCAGATAAGTCTAAAGTTGATACACAAGGTACGCTTTTATTTTATAATTCTTGAGACAACAGATTTAATAACCTAGTAAATTATCACTATTTATCCCACATATCGTAGTCAAAATTATTTTTATTTAACGTTATAAGTTATAATTTGATTTGTACAGTACACTCTTGCTTAGCTATGATATTTTATATGAAAATTATTAACACGTATTTATTCTTGAAGATTTTTGTACACGACATGTTTCGAAATATCATCGTATTGAGACATATATAAATTTCACCTGTTTTATTAAGTAGCTTACTTAGTTCAAGGAATACAGTTACTAAATTCAAATCTATTTAAAATAACTTGCGGTTTTATTGGGATCACTGTGACTAATTCATGATGCTTGTGTTAGTTTTCAATAAATGTTTAATGTGGGATAGTTATTTCTGACTTTTATTCCTGATAAACATAATAGTCCCTTAATGCTCTTGATTACTTTATTTTTAGCTATGTTGTGATATCATATTTTTCTTTTGGTTTCTTACTTTAACACTCTCATAAACAAAGTAAGTGGCACCCTTTTCACTGTCTTTGACCTTACCTATTTGAATTCTTAACATCAATATTAAAATCTCTGCAGCCTATATATTATCATTTTTTTTATTTTAATATTTAACAACATTAGAAAGTCCCCGCAAGCCAGAAGCCTTACCTACGAACCTAGCTTTCCTCTAACCCTGAACAACGAATTCTTTTTTCATTCTATTTGGGCAACGACAGAAAAGTCGTCACAAAAAGAATAAAGTATATGGCATAACGTGGGAGAAACTTTACTTGGTTTAATTGGCTCAGCTTAATTTGATTGGCTCAGCTTAATTTGATTGGTTCAGCTTAATTTGATTGGCTCATGTTCTATTTAATTGGATCAACTTAGTTTTATTTTGTTTTATTAAAAAAAAAAAAAAAAAATAATTTAGTAAAATAATTTCTAGTAGGCTCAGATAAATTTTCTTTAAGGCAAAGACTATAGTTTTGAAATTTTGTTTTCATTATTTCTGTAATTTAATTTCTATAATTTCAATTTTAACAGCAATTTTTGTTGTTTTATGTTATAGAGATTGTTTGTTTATCGGTTTTGAACTCAAGGATAAATACGTATTTCTGACTACATAGTTTATTGAAATTTTGATCTTATATAAATATACAGGTAAAAGGTTATATTTTGAATATACATAGTGGACATAATTTTAGTATACAGAATTAGCGTTGTTGGTACTTCGTAAAATTTTGGAATTTGTTTTGAATATTTAGTCTTTTTGGTTTGACATTGAACATAATTTCTTTTTTTTTTTTTTGAAAAAAAAATTGCTTGCACTTTTGTTAAAAATTAGTAAATTTTTTGAATCATTTAGTCTTTAATATCTTATATAACTGAATTACAATGGAGAATCTTTTAAAAGTTAATCATTTACGACAAGTAGAATTAGATTATGAACTTCTTATTAGGGGTATTAAAACATCTGAAAATGTTGAGAGTAAACAATAAAATTTTTTTTTTTTGTTTTTATTTTAAGTGGAGAAATTAATAACCCTTTTGTTTAGTTAATATGAAGGAATTATCCTCTCTCTTTTTGATCAAAATTTTCGTAGAGTCGCAACTTTAGATTCGATTTCTTTGTCAATTTCTGAATTCGAGGGTGTAGTAAATGATTCAATGTTTAAGTTATAAAATCTCGTCTTGCACATTTGGCTGGTAGAATCAAGAGAATAATTTTAGATAAAAATCGTGCTGATGCAGAAACTATTCAGACTGATGTTTATACTAGTTGTTATCAACTTAGGCTGACTATTTTCAAAAATTTCCTGACAAAATGGGGAATTTTAAATGTTAGTTCTGTCCCTTCAGGACCGGTTATTAATGTATCGCCTCCTATTGTGACTTATGTTGCTAAACCTTGTCCAGTGTCAGACTGGCCTATTAAATTTAATGGTAATCCTCAGAGATTTATTTTCATTTTTAAAATTTTTTTTTTTTTTTTTTTTTTTTGTTTTTTTTTAACAAGATTTATTTTATTCCGCAGTAGAACTTTTACCGGGAATGCTTTTATTTGGTACAGAAGTGTTAAACAACATGTTACAGATTGGAAATCCCTTGTAGAAAGATTAAAGAAAGACTTTTTGCCACTAGATAATGATGACAATATTTGGTCCCAAATTAAATCTTATAAACAACGAAAAATGAAAGTATTTTAATTTTTTATAGCTACTTTTAAAGTCTTTTTAGTAGATTAAATTAAATGCCCTAGTGGGGTTAATAAGTTAAAATTATTGAATAAAAATTCCATA